CATCAGGCTGCTTTAATTTCTAGAAGGCTGCTGGTTGTTTAAAAGCAAGGAGCAATTGCAAGCCATTTTTCTCTATTCCACACCATTTCCACTGCCCAATATATACAAATACAAGGAATAAGGCACCATCATCTACGCTGTGCCCCTGCAGCCACCCACTGTGCCCGCAGGCTCCTGGCAGCATTGCCAAGGAAAGGGCTGTGCGGTTGTTCCCCACCGTCAGCACAAAGGCAGCCTGTCTAAACACAGCCGAAAGCAGGGGTGCAGGATCCACCCCAGGCTCCGTTGGGCTGGGTCCGTGCTGCCTCAGCATTGCCTGGGGCCACAGAGTTGTGCCTTCTCAGTGGGCCACAGGCTAAGGAAATAGAGAGGAAAGTTACTGCCACTTGGAAGACAGCTGCTGCATTTGTGCCTGCTCTAGGAATATCTGAGAAAACCTGGAAGACTTATTGAAACAGGATTTCAAATTCAGCAGAAAAAAAAATCCTGAAAATGCAGGAGCTGACCACCCTTAGGCCCAAATCTGGGCAAACACAGCAGCATACATAAAACGTAAACACGTGCTGATACAACATCGTTACAAGTGTCTTTCTGTGCAGCAAAGCTAAACCCAGTATTTTGATTTGATTTGAAACCCATTTAAATAAATGGGAGCCATTCCACTCACCAGGCCCAGCTTGGGACCAGGGTCTTTAGTGGGAATTAAGAGCCTTCAACAATCCTATTGTCAGATCTTAATTTTACGGAGTAAAGTTTGCAGCACACAGGCACAGATGGCACATAACGAATCAAATGAACCAGCCAAATGCTGTCTGCAGAGGAGAATTCAGTGTTTATACCAGCTGACCTTAGATTCACTTTGCAGTCTGCTGCTTGGCTCGGTGTGAAAGAAAACCAGAATTGTTGGTAATGAGAGCAACAGGATACTGCCTGAAGAAGGTTTTATTTTTAGATTGACACACACTCTCCTGATTGTCTAAGAGGTCGCTGCAGAAATATTTGCTGTGCACAAAATACAATAGCACCCTTAAACCTGTGAAAATACCGATAATGCATTCAAAAGATTTTAGAGCCATAAGAAAATACACTGGAGCACAGAGAAAAACGTTCTGAATTAAAAGTAATCATATCCCCCTTATTCCGTATCTGTTATAATACTCTCCCCTGCATATTTGTATCCATGCACTTAGGATGCTGCTGGCTATCCGGCTGGTTATGCTAACAGATATGTGCACCAGCAATAGCAGTACCTTGTTATTGCAGAAACTTCTATGCAGCTTTGTTTTCAGAAAGAATTCTGTCTGAAAACACCAGAGAGGTTAACCAATATAATCATCAGTAAGCCAGTGTAAACATCATTAGGACGTTGAGGGTTTTTTTAATCAAAGGCAAACACTAATCCAATGGGCTAATCACGCAAAGTGACATGAACCACAGGGTAGCTGTGCTAAGGGATTTATTCCAACATTTCTTTAATTGGATTTGTGGCAATTTCTAAATTTTAAGCTTTTTGTCGTGGAAGTCAGTATTTCTTGCCAATAAGTAGATACACATGTAGTATTACTGTTCAGGACAGACGAAATACTCAGATGTCTGTTTATAAGTGTGGTGCTTTCCAGTTATGATCCTGTACAATAAAGTTAGTGACTTGACCATAACCCCTTTTCGCTTGAAGGCTGCAAGTATATTATCTCTATTATTAGATATTAATGTGTCAGCTTTTAATAAATCTTAAGGACATTTCTAAAAATTCACTCTTCTTTCTCCACCAGAACTAGATGAAAGCACTTCCATAGCCCACTGAGTTTAGTAAGCGTTCCTGCCAAAACTGCTGCTGGGAATCAGGGCTGGGAGTTACAAATGGCTCTTCTAATTGTTAGCGATACAAAGGAAAGGGGAAGACATTAAGAATTACCAACTCCATCCTGGATTGATCGGGCATCTGTAAATAAAGAGGAAACTCATCAGTACCGGCTCCCGCACAGAATGACTTACTGTTAATAAAAGTTTTGTTCTGTAGCCAGAAGCTGACAAGTTCTTTAATGCACACATAAGACCCTCTGTATAGCCAAATGTTTTTTGTTTCTTCAACAGCTGAATAAAGAATTCCCTGTTTGCAGTCCCTCGGTGCCAAAACCAAGTACTCTTAACTAACAGCCAGAGCAGCTGCGATTAATGCATGAACGATACCTGATACTAAATAGAAGATACCGTATCAGTAACAAAATATTCCTGGCTACTCGAAAAAAATAAATGAGAATAAATTCAGCAGTAATATTACCTGTTAGGAAGTTCATCAGCATACAGAAGAACAGCAAGGCAGTAAATGTCATCTTCTCTGCAAGATACTGCTCGTGTTTCTGAAAAGTGATCTGTACAGTTGAGGATTATTTCAAGAGATTAACATTTATGCAAAGTCTATTATTTCTTTTTTTATTAGAAGAATCTCTTCCAAAACATTCTAATTATTAATTTAGGCATAACAAGATCCAATTACATTTCCTTACAGTTTCTGAACTGCAACTCGGAGCATTAAAAGAATGACAGTCCTGAAGCGTGTACTGCTATTTTATCTGTAGGTGGCATAAATCCAAAAGGCTCCTCTGAACCAACATGAAATTAAGTGGTTTTGGAAATGTTTTATTTTGTGGTTAATTTAATTTCACTTCAGAAGTTACCTCTTTCCTCTTTTCTTTTTCTGTCAGCAGTCAAGGTCTGTAGCTCTGAGTCAGCTCCAAGACTCTGAAAGGGTTTCTATTGCTCTAAAATAGTAGCACTGTTGAAAGAAGGGTGGGGGAAAAGGAGGGAAACGTCACTGCGTTACTGCACCAATCTGATTTTGCCACCTTCAGGTAGAGGTATTTTAACTGCTCACATTTGAGTTCTATTTCAGCACCGTCCATGGAAGGGAGAGGACATCAGAATCACCTTCGGCAGTAACACTTTTGTGAGTTGAAGACAGAGGGAGAAAATCCAGAAGCAAATTCAGTAATTATTACCTTTGCTGCCCAGCTGATTCTCTCTCACTCTCTCCCTTCAGAAAAAGAGACTTTAGAAATGTTATTTGAGCAAATTGCTAAGAGGGTATTTAGTTCCCTCTTCAGCTGAGTGACAAAACCCACGAACACTTGACACAGATTTATGTTTTTACTTGGGATCCTGCAAATCTAGATCTTAAAGTGTACATAGGCACCAAGTGCCCACTGCAGTCAGTTGGCTTACATTAAGCACAGAAGTAGGTCCCTAATGGCCTCAGCCCTGGTGACGGTGCGGGTCCTGCAGCCTTCAAAGGGGGTCGATAAGGTGCATTGGAACGCACTTTCACGTTTTGTTGATTCCTGAAAGATTCCTCTCCCAGTGCCAAGCAGATGCTTTGGGCTCTACCCTGTGCAGGCTGCTGAACAGATCCAGCACTTCAAAAAGATTGGAGAGGGGAAGCGGTCTGGAGAATATTCAACTGATGCATACATCTTGATCGATTTTCTTTTAGCACAGAACTGATGACAGCTGCTGAGGTCAGGGGCTAAGGTGTAGCAGAAATGGCTCTGCGACTCATGGGCAGATGTGGGCATTTCCACGCTCTTAGAAGATGTGGCTGTTCAGGTTGTGATGCCAAACCTGGCAGCTGTTTCCAGATAGCTCCTCTCTGGAAAGGAAATGGTGAAACTCCAGTGCAGAGCCCACCGGTCCCGATCACGCTGCAGAGAACTGATCAAGCTCCCCTGCTCCCTCTCAGCTGGGACTTTTCAGTTGCCTTTACTCTGAGTCTACAGAATAATTTCTCTCTCTCCATCCCAAACACCTCGTATCACTGCATTTCCCAACTGCATGTGTGGGAGCTGACATTGTTGGCTTTACCACGTCCACTTTCTGCCATGGGAGCATCTCCCAGGGAAAGTCTGCATACTCTCCAGAGTCCTGGAGCGGAGAGACCCAAGTGAGTGGCCTTGCAGGAGGCCCCAACTTTGCTGGAGTTTATTCCTATCTTCATGCAGAGTTAGATAATCCTGCCAAGAATTAAAGATATTCTGAGCAAGGGGGAAAAATGAATGCTTTGTAGGACACCAAGCTGTGCCAACTCTTGTGGAGGCTGCAAAGAAAAATATTATGAAAGCAGAATCTATTTCATCTTTGAAAGGCTTTAATCCTCCTGTTTAATATTTCCAAGGCCTGCAGGAGGGGCTGTCACCTCTGTGCCTGGGTTACGGCACCCGCCAGTGGGAGAAGGCACTTCTCTTGCTTGGTGGTGCCCTGTGGTACAGCCACGCACTCAGGTCCACCCACCAGCACTGCCTGCAAAGCCAAACACCACTTTCACTGCCTGATCTGTATATCCTATTCAAATAAACTATGAGAAGCACTGACATATGCTAACACACACACAAAACGCTCATTAGCTGTAATTAAATAATTAGCATAAAACAACTTCTGTGTACATCCATCAGTAGCTCTTTGTTTTGGCAGTCGATAAGGGAGGTGTAGTTCCAAGTGGGAGGTGAGATGGCATGTTTTGGATGATGACAAAGGAAAATGATGATGTTTTTGACACAGCCACATCCTGCAGCTCTCCCCTCGCAGAATTAACAGTGCCATAGGAGGATGACAAAATTAGAGGGGTTATCAGGTGCAGGGTCACTCTGGTCACAATGTGGTCTGCTACAACACCAGATGATCTCATTCATGTAACTTGAGTCTCATGCTGACATACACCTTTATGCCTTCCTCCTTCAGAGTTTCTTACTCTGTCCTTTGAAGCTTGAAATTATTCCCACAACTAGGTGGATCACAGATCTGACATGGTGTGGCAGTCTTCTATCAATTACAGGCTTTCAATTTAACTTGCATCCAAGTCTTCCATTTGCTAGTGCACAGATTGGTCATGGAAATAAATTTTCATGGTTTCCATGCTAAAGAATGCCTAGGAAATTATTAAAAGAGGACAGGATTTAGCATTTAAAACAGCTGCATGAGGGGATACAGCCAGAAGATTGTTGTTTTAAATGTTAATTTTAATCCCTTTTCTATCAAGGCTTCTGTTGCTGTACATGACTATTTCCCCCCACTGGGTCTGTCTGTTTTAAACACAGCATTGGACTAGAGAAGAACTGATGAGTTCTCATCAGCTGCTGTCTGTCTGTTTTAAACACAACATTAGACTAGAGAACTGATGAGTTCTCATCAGCTGCAGAAGGACTGTGGTGCCTGGTGGGTTCAGCGTGCCAAACAGAGCACCACATCTGGGGCCAACCAGAAAGCACACTGCACCGACTTGCAGCATTTGTAATAGAGTGCAAGCATGTTCAGGCCATCTCCTCCCTTCTTTATGCTCTAGGACCCCTTTCCTTTTCAGACTCCACTCAGAAGGCAACTGAAATAACAGCACTCGGTACCCAGCACAAGTGCTGGCATGGATCAGTTAGCAGAGCCCTTCACTAACAGTCCCTGCCCTGCAGGCTTCTTCACTGCTGAGCAGTAATTGGAGATGCCATAGTGCTCACAAATGCCAGCCTGGCTCAGCTGCAACCACATTTCAGCAGATACTATAGCACTTAACACAGCAGCTGCTGAAAGAGCCCAATGTTTTAATTTCTACTCATTTTGGCAAGAAATTCATGGTTTTACTATTTTTCAGAAAGGCTCATTAGTTCAAAAACACCATTACTTTTGCTGGCAGCAAGTTCTTCAGGTACTTTATTCCAAGGTTTCCATGTAGTTTTTTTAGATCAGGCCACTGACTTATCCCACCCACCTGTCCCAGGAGGATCCAACCAATATGTACTTTTTGTAGTTGGCTCTCAAAGCCAGAAAATCCCACAGACAGTCAGCTCTGTCAGAGACAGAAATCAATGGGTGCATAGAGGACGTTCCCTCGGCAATAGGGGAAGGAGCTTGGGCAGCACAGTTGTTTGTGTGACTTGCTCCCTGATGAGGAGCAGTGCTGGAGCTGCCAGCCCGCCTTCGGGTGGGCCCATTGCCGATGGGCTGTTTTACACAGAGCCAGTGCCTGCAGAGCAGCTCAGCTCTCCTTGGTGATTTAACTTGAAACAAAGATAAAAGGATAGAAAAAAGCAAGTTTATGGATGCCTTTGTTTTCTCAATACCTATTAGTCTGGTACTACACACACAAATTTCTATGATTCCCCAGGCACTGAAAAAAAACCCTGTACATTTTAAAAAAAGAACAGAATATTTCCTATTTAATCAACAGGCAAAAGCACATGCATGCAGAGCTCTGTAAGAACTTATTTAAAAAAATAAATGGCACTTACAGCTGCGTCTGAAGTGCTTTGCCCTTGGGTTAAGCAGACAATGTTCTCCATAGGGCAGCAACACTTTTGCACGTCAGAAACAACCAAAGGCAGTGATATGTAGACCAGGGAAACACAGATGTTTGATTATTTTCTCCAGCAATTTGGTCCAAATAATACAGGCCAAAAGGAGATTGATGTGACTACAATATGCTTTGGTCAGGCAGGTGTGAATTGCCCTAGATCTTTCAGGCATTCACAGCTTCATTTCCTTTCCTTCATTTGTGAGTGTGGAAGCTCCAAAATTTTCTGATAGTATTGGGTTGCCCAAGAAGTAGAGCCCAGGGCAGACAAGGAAGAATCAGGTGAAAGCCCCGCAGTACCAAGCAGCTGAAAAACAAAATGACCAATAAAATTAAACCTAAAATGAGGTACCTGGGTAAATAGCTCCAACTTTAAAGGACCATGGTATCTGAAAACTAGATTTGGGGCTACAATAGTAGATCTAGTAACATGTTCAGTGCCGAGTCACAGACAAAAAGGCAGATCAAAGAAGAGAGGGAAAAGCACGAGGCACTGCTTGCCATTGTGCTGTGGTTGCTCCCATGTTGGATATTACATACATTTTTGGTTTCACCGTCACAGAAGGACATGATGGAACAAGAAAAGCTACAAAGGAGGTGAGATGAGTTCACAGTCAAGGACTAGCTAAAGCAGTCTGGGACTCTTCAGCCTAGCAAAGTGTCCAAGAGACCTTTATTTCTACCAAGAAACATCAGATTAGTCTGGCAATGGCTTGTTCAAAACAAAAGGTGTGGGCTTTGCTGCAGTTAAGCTGTGCCATGTCTTATTGCAGTGTATGATCAACTGCAGAGTGTCCTGGCTGAAGGTGTCTGAGCCTGGTCTGGGAGCAGAGCAAGACCCAGCAGCACTGCACTTTTACACGCTGTCTTACTCTCCTTGAGCATCTCCTGCTGCTGGTCCAGGTGAGCTCCCAAGCTGACCCAGCCTGTTTTACTGAACTACTGCCTATTTCCAGTGGTCGTGAACAGACATTTTTCCTGCCAGCAATTGGTTTGAGTATC